TGAGACGGGACGCTTCGGCATGTCCACGAGACGGGACGGGACGGGACGGGACGGGATGGGATGGGATGGGATGGGATGGGATGGGATGGGATGGGGCAGGGCCCAGCTGACTGCAGCCATCAGCCCTGTGGCCCAGTTTTGCCACTCACCATCCTGCAGTGGCTGGAACTTCTTTGGCTCTTCCAGCTGTTGTGCTGGGGCAGGTCCAGGGTCTGTCTTTCTTTTCCCCCTGAACACTTTGAAGACGCTGAGGAATATGCCCGCCATTACACAATCTTGCCTTGAAGGCACCTTAAAGAGAGATGCCGTGGGAAATCTCTGAGTCAACAAGTCCTGCAGTTGTGCCTTGAAGGCACCTGCGAGAGAGAAGCCCCAGGAAGGCTATAGGACAGCAAGTCCTGCAGTCTGGTCTCGAGGGCTCCTGCCACAATGACTGGAGACTCCTCGTAAATGACTGTGGTCACCAGGTCCCACAGTCTCACCTTGAGGACAGAGGCCAGAAGGATGGGAGATGCCTCAGAAAAGCTCCAGGTCCAAGTACCGGAGTCTGGCCTTGAAGGCACCTGCAAAAGAAAAGTCTTGGGAAGGCCACGGGTCACCAAGTCCCGCAGTCTTGCCCCGCAGGCACCTGCAAAAGAAAAGCCTCGGGAAAGCCACGGGCCACCAAGGCCCGCAGTCTTGCCACGAGGTCACCTGTACGAGTAAAGACTTGGAAAAGCTCCGGGTCCGACACAAACGAGTGCGCTGTGCGGGGGCTCCTCACAGCACCGCTCTGCCGCGTCCTGTCCCGTCGCGTGCACTGGGCACTGTGGCATGGCCCTGTCACCGCCAGCTCCTATGTCACCACATGTCACAAAGGGCCCTCTGACACCCTGTCCATTTCCATCCCATGGTGACCATGTGTCACAAAGGGCCCTTGCACACACTGCCACCTGCCCTTGGGCTGCCCCCATCCCCCCCAAAGTGGCCCAGGTTGGAAGGAATCGTTGCCCAAAGTGTCTTAGACAGCCCGACAGGATCTTTAGGAACGCCTCAAACCATCAGCAAACGCTGCCCTGCTCTGCAGGCTCAGGGCAGCAGAAGGAGCCCCCAGGGCTGCCGACGCAGCCGCAGCAGGAAGGGCACGGGGCCTTGCACAGAATCTGCACAGGGGCCTGGCAGCACTGAAATCAGCAGGTGTGGCAGTGTCCCCACCAAGGCAGACCTGCCACCCCAGCCGAGCCCTGGCAGTGCTGGTGCCCTTCTCCTGCCCCAGAGACCTGTGCCCCTGGGGGGTTTCTGTGCCAGAGGGCAGCCAAAGCCCACGTGCATTGGGGGCTGGGCTCCTTCCTGCAGGGGCTGTTGGCAGGAGCTCCTGGAGCTACTGCTGGCCACTCTTGCTATCTGTCAGATGATGTTGCTCCTTCCTGGAATGATGTTTTTCATGGAAGGGGTTTGCAGTAGCACAAAACCACCATCAACTGCTGAGTTTCCTAGGATGGTTAGATTGTACAGAGGTACTGTCATGTTTCAGTGTGATTTTCTGTCCTTCTGGGAGAAACATTAGCCCAGTCTCTGATGTTCAAGGCCCCAGTTGTTGCATGTCTGTCTGTGTTGCAGCTGATGCAAGGAAAACATTTCCTCCAGACACAGAGTCCTGCCTGAATAGTCACAGAGCTACATCTATTTTTAATTTTAACTTCTTAAAATTTTTCCAGAGCCTGCTGACTGTTTTCAAGGTTTTCTCCCAATTTTCTCCCTAGTGCACATTCCCCAGAAATTGTGCTTTTACATACTTTTGCATTTATTAAATTTACCTGCAATGACCAGTCAATCAAAACTCTGGGAAAACTTGATCTTCAGGTTGAACCCAAGCAAAATATTTATCTCCCACATCTGAAGCCATGAACTGCCAAGTACTGTCCCCACTGTCGTACTCTGTCCCCTGTAGGTGGCCTGATGCCATTTCAAAGGGGCTTCCAATGAAAGTAAGTTTTAATATTTTTGTAGTTTCCTCATTGGCATTAAAATCCTTGACTAGAAAAATCACATGTCAAAATTTCTAGGATTCTTACACACCAAAGCTGTCATTTTCACCCTGGATTTTAGAGTCTCTGAACAGTCACACAAGGTTTTAGTATTAGACATTACAGACAAAGTCCCTGCTGTTCGGCGATACCATTCCATCAGCATATAGTCCTGATGATTACTTTAGGCAGGAGCAGCAAATGCAAGAATGAGCCAAACAAGCTATTCCTGTGTTCTCATGTCCTGCACAGCAGTAACTGGGAATTCAAGAATGGATTTAGGAGGCAATGGGTGCACAGGGAGCCACAAAGACTTTGGGATGCTGAAATGGACCAGCCTGGTGCCTGTGCCCGGGCTGCACCGGGCTGAGTCCAACTGGACGATCTAACAATGGTTGAATGGACACACCATGGGCCACTGGAGACTCCTACTCCTAGTTCTGTGAGCTACAGTATTCACCTGTGATTCACCAGATGATTTTTTTTATCTTTGCTTGAAATCCAGGAGAAGAAAAGGTCAACATGAAGAAGTGTTCTTCCAATTCTAGTGACAGTTGTGTCTGCACACCACCTGTGCCCATGGCAGGGTGGTTGGAACTGGATGATGTTTATGATACTTTGCAACACAAAGTACTCCGGGATTCTTTGGTTCCCCAAGCGGAGACCAAAACTGAGCCGTGTAAATCCCTGCTTTTTTTCAGTGCCTGCTGCTTCTTCCTTTGTTCCAAGCAAGTCCAGGATTTTATTTCATGTGTCTTTAAGGTGCCTGGACAGAAGAGAGGGAGGGCAGCTGCAGCGCAGAGCTTGTGTCCATCTCTCTCTCACAATGGTGCCAATGCCGCTGCCTTGGGACACCTGAATGTGTAAGGTGAGCCCACCCTCAGGCATGGCCATCCAAGTCAGTCAGGGGCACAAGCTGCAGCTGAAGCTGCCACGCGTTGCTGTGAGGCTTCAAGTGAAGAGAAAGCCATTGTGGCCAATTCTGCTGAAGCCTTTTGCCAAACCGAAGGCAGCTGTGCCCACAGCCTCCCCCTGTTTGGCACCCGGCTGCTGCGGCCGCCTCAGTGCGCAGGTGCCGACGTTGGGGCTGCTGCTGTTCCTGTGCACACTCTGCTGCTGTTTCTGTGGGCTCCAGAGCCGCTTGGGCAGCAGCCACTGGGCAGCCCTGCTGGAGGAGACATCGCCACCCTCCCCATGGTGGCAGTAACTCTGCGGGCCCCGAGCTCTGTGTCAGGGGACCCTCGGTCACAGCACCATGGCCTGGGCAGCTGTGAGGGCCGGGGCTGGCTCTGCCCACTGCCCCTTATCGCAGGCACCCAGTGGCCGTGGCCTGGCAGCACCCCCTGCCCTCCATGTCCCCAGCCAGCCCAGCCTGGGCACCTCGGGCTGTCCCCACCCTCCTGGAGAGGTGTTGTCCCAGCTTCGAGGGCTTCTGCTGCAGGCCTGGGAGACATTTTGGGGAAGCACCAGAGCAGCCGGGTGTCAGGAAAAAGGCGGCTGCCCAGAGGCTGCTTATGGCCTCTGATACCTCATTCCTCAGGGCTTCCCACCACCCCGGCCCCTCAGGGGCCTCCTGTCCCCTTGGAACCTCCTGCCACCCACTCCCTCACACATCCCCCTTGTGCTTTCCCACTGCCTTGTCCCATCTGGGCCTCCACAGCCCCTCATCCATTTACAGCCTCCCAGCACCCCGTCCCCTCAGGGTCTCCCCCAGCCTGGCCCAGCAGCAGCGCCGCAGCCCCACAGGAGCTCCAGAGGAGCTGGATCAAGAGGCACCTGGGAGCCCTCAGCAATCCAGGGAGCACCACACGGGCACAAGGACACAGATGGCGCTTCCTGGCTGGGACAGGGCTTGTGCCTTCAGCAGAACCACCAAAGGCCAAGGGTTTCTGGCCATTTCCCTGCACCACTGCATGCCCTGACAGGTTGCTGAGCACAAGCCCCCTTTTCCCTCTCTTCCCCTATGCCCCACACACCCTGGGCAGCAAAAGAAAGGTCCTGGGACTCTGTTTATTATAACATATCCTGTATTTACTGTAAGGGAACATTTTAATAGAGAAAAAGCATGATATTTTAGTAAAAGCCTGTCTGCACAACCCAGCTTTTAATTCAGGCGACAATATTAAAAGCAGTGTCTTTGAAACTGTCCTGGAACAGCGAGAATAAAGAAAAACAATGGCATTCTGTACATGGAAAAGAATGTAAACAATATGTGTTAACCAGTTGTAGCCTGTTAAGCCCTGTGAACCCTGTTGGACCCTATAAAAGTGTGCTAAAGATAGAAATAAACGATGTTTGCTACACCTCTATGAGGACTCAGTGAATAGTCTGAGAGGTTTTCCATTAGCCTATTGGACCAAAATGTTATATATTGCTGTGGGGAGAAGAAACTCTGACTTCCACAAGCTATGGCTGACTTGTTGCTCCTCTATAAATCTCACGCCTTGAGACTGATATCTTATCGGGCTACTTGCGCAATAAATCATCTCAAAGCATAGTGGTTCCACCCTCATTTTTCACCTTGACACCAAACACACCCTGGAGATGTCTGGGGCCATTCATCATTTCTCTGCTCTGCAGCACCGAGGCAACGCACTCCGGCTACAGCTCTGAGCTCGTGCCCATGGCAACCAGCCCTGGCAATGGGGCTCCATGGAGCTGCTCTCAGGAACATCCCAAGAGTTGGGGAGTGCCCCAAAAGTGCCTCAGAAATGTGAGATACCCCAAAATCTCTTCAGGAATGTGAAATATCCCAAAACTCACTCAGTAATGGGCTCCCCCTTTGATCATTATCCCCAAACTTTGGCTGTCTCATTGCAGACCCCACCCCACATCCCAAATCCCAACCCCAACCCATCCCATCTCTGCTGGACATCAAGACCCCCTTCCCAAGCCTTACTTTCCTTATTTCACACCTCCCAAACTCCATCCCACCCAATACCCATCTCACCCCTCCTGATTTGCATCCCACTTCACCCAATCCCCTTCCAACCCCTTTCCACCTGATGCCTTGAGGAAGGCTGACCTAGAACAGAGGCTGGACAGAGTTGAGAATAAAGTTTATTAAAATGCCTTAAAGGATACACCTTGGGCAGTAGAAGAACCTGGCCAGGGCTACACCCAAAATGGACCAGAAATGGTCACAAAAATGGACAAGTGATCATGAGGTCTCACATTTTCAGAAGTTTAGGTCCATCTGCATATTCATTGTCCAATTACAGCTTCAGATGAGGAAGTCCCATCCTTCTTGTTTTCTCTCTTCAGTCCACCCTTGTTCATGCTTTTGGGCATGGAACTTGTAACAATTGTCCTTGGTATCAAGCTAGAAAAGGAATTGTTTTGTCTACCTACTCTGTGAAGAGAGCTCACTAGCACTTAATAGGAAGTTCAAAACTACAAACCTAGGCAGTGCAGAATTTGAAAAATATGAAAGCTAAAATTTAAGGCAACACACCCTGAGGGACTGTGGAATCCAGTAATTTTGGGTGGGATTGAGTAGATTTCAATGGCACTGAGTGGTTTTGAGGTGACAGATAGAACTCGCTCATCTCCTTGAGTGGCAAGAGATGGAGACAAATAAACCAAATACCCCCAAAACCCTCCCCATTACCTCCCTGAATACCAGATTCCCTTCAAGCACTAGTAAAAGAGATATTTTAGATGCCTTTGATGAATCTGTAGACTTTTACCTAAATTTTGTCTGTTTTAAAGGGATGAAGATGAATCAAAAGAAAATTAGGGCCAAATCAAAATGACCACCAGCCCAGTGTGTTGCCAACACAGATCACTGGGAACGTGGGTCATCAGGTCCTGCCCAACGTGGGTCCTCTGATGGGGGATGGAGCTGGAGCAGCACATGGACACCTTCCTGCACTTGGGGCACTCACAGGGCTTCCCTTACCGGTGCATCCGTTGGTGCTGGGTCAAGTTAGAGCTGTGGCTGAAGCTCTTCCCACACTGGGGACACTCGTAGGGCCTCTCCCCAGTGTGGATGCGCCGGTGCTTGATGAGGTTGGAGTTGTGCTTGAAGCCCTTCCTGCACTCAGGGCAGCGGAAGGGTCTCTCATCCGTGTGAATCAGCTGGTGCTGGAGGAGATGGGAGCTGGTCTGAAACCTCTTCCCACACTGGAGACACTCGTAGGGCCTCTCCCCAGTGTGGATCATCTGGTGGATGGTCAGTTTGGACCTCCGGCTGTAGGTCATCCCACATTCCTCACACTCATAGGGACGTTCCCCAGTGTGAGTCCTCTGGTGGATGGTCAGGCTGGAGCTGTGGCTGAAGCTCTTCCCACATTCCCCACACTTGTAGGGCTTCACCCCAGTGTGGATGCGCTGGTGCCTGATGACATGGGAGTTGTGCTTGAAGCCCTCCCCACAGTCAGGGCAGCGGAAGGGCCTCTCATCCGTGTGAATCCGCTGGTGCAGGAGGAGATTGGAGCTCCTCTGAAACCTCTTCCCACACTCGGGACACTCGTAGGGCCTCTCCCCAGTGTGGATGCGCTGGTGGATGATGAGGTGGGAGCTGCAGTAGAAGCCCTTCCCACATTCCCCACACTCGTAGGGCCATTCCCCAGTGTGGATCATCTGGTGGCGGATCAGGCTGTTGCTCTGGCTGAAGCTCTTCCCACACTCCAAGCACTTGTAGGGCTTCTCCCCATCCTGAAGCTGCTCATGGACCACCAGCTCAGAGCCCTGGCTGGATCTCCGGTCGCCTTCCCGGCACAGGGTGGGTCTTTCCTCCTCAGAGCACCCTGGGATGGGTTTGGAGCCCCTCCTCCTGCAGGATCTCTGGGGCTTTTCTTCCCTGTTGGATTCCTGTGCTGTGGAGCCACTCAAAACAGCTTCTTCCATGAGGTTCTGCCATGGGGATTTGTCCTCTCTGGTCTCCATCCTCAGCTCCTTGTCTGGGGGAGGAAGGACAAGGAGAGGATGGGATTTGCCTCCGTGCCAGAGGGAAGGGGAAGGAGATCCCCCCAGTGCGTCCCCGGCAGGACGGCGTCGGCAGCGGGGTTGTCCTGCAGCCGGGGGCCAGGCTGGGCTGGGAGATGGAGCAGGAGAGAGGGGGAAAGGGGCACTGACTTCCTCCTTACCTGCCTGGGTGTCCTGGGAGATCTTCCTCTTCCTCACAGCCTCCTTCTCCATCCAGCCAAGGTTTGGGAATGGGAAATCCTGGTTTGGGGAGAAATACAATTCATGAGCACATTGGGTTAGGGAGTTTGTTCTGCCCAAGTCCATCTCTAGAACTCACCAGCCATCCATAAAAACATCCCAAACACCAAAATTCAGCCCTGAAAATGCCTCCCAGGATTTCCCCATCTCTGGTCTCTCCCTTTTGGTGTTCAGGGGTTCCCCCCGTCCCAGTTCCTGGGGGTCACACTTGTACTGGGGTTCCTCTGTCTGCTCAGTCCCTGCCCTCCCCAGGCTGCTGGGAGTGCCAGGAATCTGAAAAGTTCCCCCCATTTCCATCTCCTCATTTACAGGTGATGGGGCTTTTTGGATTCCTATGGTCCCTTTTCCCCTCATTCTCTGCTTAGGGGTGCAGGTAGTCCAAGGAGTCCCCCCTGCCCCTCTCCAGGCTGTTGAGGGTCCCGTGAATTGTGGTGCTCCCCCTCTCTGGGCTCCCCACTTTGGGGTCCTGGGGGACACAGGGCTTTGCTCCTCCAGGCTGCTTCTGCCAGCAGCCGCCACCAGGACCCCCCAATGTCCCCCCAGGGGGTATTCTGCACTCAGCTTTGGAGTTCTTCATTCTCCAATCATCCCCCCTAAAAACCCAACCCAGGAACCCCCCAGGGTATCTGGGCCAAACTCCCCCTCCCTGGTCACCTCTGGGATGGGGGGTGATGATCTCACAGGTGGGGGCTGTGAATTCAGGGAATGTTGGACCTTGTGGTTCCTTCTCCTTTCCCTGATACTCCTTTGTCCCTCCTCTTCCTCCTGCTCCTCCTCTCTAACCCCACCTCCTTCTCTTACTTCCATCCCTCCTCCTCCTCCCCCAGGAGCAGCGACACCCTCGGTGCCCCGTTCCCAAACCCCTCACAGCCCACGGCAGGAGCGGGGATGGAGCCGGGACAGGTCGGGATGGGCAGCGCGGGGCTCTCCGCTGCTCCCACCCGCTGGGGACGGGGGGAACCCGGCCCGGGGAAAAGGAGAGGGAAACTGGGAAAATTGGGGGCTGCAGATCCAACCTGGGGCTGGCTGGGGACCCTGGCTGGGGACTGCCAGCCCTTGGGGCTCCTCTGGGGAGATGTGGGAGGGGGGAACACAGAGAGGGCTGGGGGATCCCAGGAGTGGCAGCACTGGCAGGGACTGGTTTGGACTGGGGTAACTGGAACCTTACTGGGGCAACTGGGAATGATTGGGAATGAGCACAAGCATGCTGAGGGCAACTGGGATATACTGGGAGTGTCTGTGACCATACTGGGAACAGCTGGAACCACACTGGGAGAAATTGGGAGTGAGTGGGACCGTGCTGAGATGGACTGGGACTATTCCAGGGACAACTGGGATCATACTGGTAGGAACTGGGAAGAATTGCAACTATTCTGGGATCACACTCAACTGGGATCATACTGGGATCACAGTGGGAGCAGCTGGGTCCCTGCTGGCTGAGACTGGGATCCCACTGAGGGTGACTGGAATCATACTGGGATTGACTGGGAGTGGCTGGGAACAACTGGGATCATGCTGAGAGCAACTGGGAGGAGCTGGGAATGACTGGGAGCGTGCTGGGGCTGACTGGGATATACTGGGAGAGACAGGGAGTCCCAGGGATCACACTGGAGGCTACTGGGGTCACACTGGCACTGCCAGGGAGCAACTGGGGGCCACTGGCCTCATACTGGGAGTGACTGGGATTAGACTGGGAGTGACTGGGATCAGACTGGGAGTGACTGGGATCATGCTGGGAGTGTGAAGGAAACTGGAAAATTGGGGAAAAAATGCAAAAAAAACCCCAGGATAAATTCAAGGAAAATAGAAGGGAAAATCAGGGAAAAACCAGAAAAAAATCAGGGTGAAATAAAAAATAAAAAAAAAATAATAAAAAAAATAAAAAATAAAAAAGGAAAAAAGGGAAAATTTGACAAAAAATTTGGGAAAAACAGGAAAAACTTTGGGGAAAAAAAAAAAAAAGAGGACACACAAGGAGAAAATGGGGACAATCTGGGAAAAAATCAGAAAAAATGGGGAATAAAGAAAGGAAAATAAGGAAAAATAATGAAAAACCAGGAAGAATTGAAAAGAAATTTGGAAAATCAGGAAAAAAACTGGGAAAGAACTCAGAAAAATCGAAGAACAACCAGAAAAGAATAAGGAATAAAATCTGGAAAAAATGGGAAAAAATTGGGAAAAACCCCAGGAATAATCAAGGAAAATTAAGGGAAATTTGAGAAGAAATTGAGATAAAGCTAGATAAAATTTTGGAAAAGAAGGGGCAAAAATCAGGAGAAAATGGGAAAGGCATGAAAAAAATTGGGAAAAATTGTGAAAAATGAGGGAACATATCAGGAAAAGAAAGGACTCAGTGAAAAACCAGGAAAAAATTGGGGAAAATATTGGAAAAGTCAAGATAAAAACTGAAATATTTGAGAAAACATTGCAAAAAAATCAGAAAAATGACTGGGAAAAAAACGTAAAAAAAAAACCATAAAAAAAAGAAAAATCAGGGGAAAATCAGGAAAAAGAAAAAAAAAATCTGGAAAAAATCAGAAAAAAATTAATGAAAAAAAATGGGGGAAAATCAGGGAAAAAATTGGGAAAAATCAGGGAAAACTAGGAAAAATTAGGGGGAAATCAGGAAACATAGAGAAGAAACTGGGAAAAACAGGAAAAATTGGGGGAAAAAGGAGGGAAGAATCAAGAAAAAAATAGGGGAATTCAGGAAAAACTGGAAAAACTAGAAAAAGTGGGAAAAATGCAGAAAAATTAAAGAAAACAGGAAAAAAATCAGGAAAAAATGGGAAAAAAAGAGGAAAAAAAATTGGGAAAATACCAGGAAAAAATGAGGAAAATCATGGACAAAGCGAGGAAAAGAAAGACGAAAATAATCTGGAAAAAGCAGGAAAAAATGGGGAAAAAAACTAGGAAAAAATCAGGAAAAATCAGGAAAAAAACAGGATGAAATCCCCCTATCCCATTTTTCCATGGAATTTTGGGAATTGCCTACCTGGGAGGTGGTAGAAGAATTTCCAGACCAGGGAATGCAGGAAGTGGGGAAAGGTAGAATTGCGGATGAGCTGGTCCAGATTTTTGGGAAGGTAGATGGCTGGTCCTCTTCCAGCTTCCACAGTGTTCAGATGAATCCCACAGCTCCTTCCGGCTGGAAATTATGGAAAAATCATGGGAAAGTTGTGATTCAAATTCATGGAGTTTTGCCTCCAAAACACCCTTTTTTCCTGCCATAATTTCTATTCTCCCCCCCCCGCCCCCAAAATTTCAATTTTTCCCCCTCCAAAATATTAATTTTTGGGATAATTAAATGGGGAAGATAGGGGGAAATGTGGAAAAATAGGATGGAAATGGAGAAAAAAAGGGGAAAAGTTGGGGAAAACTAGAGAAAAATGGGGGAAAGAAAAATGGGAGAAAAAATGGGGGAAAATCGACCCAAAATGGGATAAAAATAGGGAAAAATGGGATGGAAATGGAGGAAAAATTGGGAAAAATGGGAGAAAGAAATGGAAGAAAATGGGGATAAAATTGTGGAAAATTGAGATAAAACCTGGATAAAAATAGGGGGAAAAACAGGGAAAACTGGGATAAAAATTGGAATAAAAATGGTAAAGATGAGGCAAAAATGGGGGAAAATGGAAGAAAATGGGGAAAATAGGAGAGAACATGGGGAAAAAACTGGGGGAAATGGAGCAAAATTAAGGTAAAATTGGGAAATGGAAAATAAATAGATTAAAAAGGGGAAAAAATGGGAAAAAATAGGAAAACGTGGGGAAGAATTTGAGTAAAAATGGAGGAAAAACAGGAAAAAAAATCAGAAAAAATGGGAAAAAATGAGGAAAATGAGATAAAAACGGGAGAAATGGAGGAAAAAAAAAAAAGTGTGGAAAAAAATTGGGGAAAAATAAAAAATAGGATAAAAATGGGGGAAAATGGTATGAAAATGGGATAAAAATTAGAAAAAATAAAGCAAAAATAAGGAAAAAATGGGGGAAAACTGGATAAAAATGTGGAAAAATGGGATAAAGTGGAGACAAATTGTACTCTAATAGGGAATGACTGGGAGTGATTTGGCTTATCGTGGGGCACAGAGGAAACTGGAGGCACACGGGGTGAGCAACTGGGCAATGCTGGGAGCAGCCACTGCCGGCACCGGGAGCCCCGAACCCCTTTCCTGGCCATGCCGGACCCGCATCCCCCCGGCCCCTTTGCCGGGGCTCTGCCGCCACCGGGACCCCCCAAAAACACCTCCCGGGGATCCCCGGGGTGCCCCCGAGGGGCATCTGCGGCTCGGCTCTGGAGCCCTGCCATCCCCAAACATCCCCCCCAAAAACCCCAAAGCCAGGGAGCCCCGGGGTATTTGGGGCGAGCTCCCCCTCCCCGGGCACCTGCGGGATGGGGGGCGATGGTCCCGAAGGAGCTGCAGATGCAGAGAGCGGGGAGCGCAGGTGGAGCCTCCTCTGCCTGCTCCAGCTCTTCCTCCTCCTGCTCCTCCTCTTCCTCCTCCTCTGTCCCTCCTCTGTCCCTGTGCGTGGTTCGGAGCCCTCGGGTGAGCGGGGCCGGGCCGGGACACGATGGGAAAGGGCTGGGTCCCCCCCAAACCGAGCTGGGGGCAGCGGAGCTTTGGGGGAACAATGGGAACGGGGCGGGACAGGGGAACAGGGGGAGGTGGGAGCACTGAGGGTCCCCCAGTTCACCCCAGGAGCCCCAAGCCCCGTCCCAGCCCCCCCAGTTCCCCCCGCAGCCCCGGCTGAGGGGGGCTCAGCCCAGGAGCCGCCGTCGTTCGGGGCTCCCCCGAGTGCAGGAACGGGAGAGTTCCCGGCTCGGGGAGGCCCCAGCACAGGAGGGGATCTTGTCCCTCTTCCAGGGCCTTTCAGGGTCTTCAGGCCCCTCTCAAGAGGAGTTTTTCTCTTTTTCAGGTTTTTTGGGGGGGATCCCACCACTACAGGGGTGTTTTTTCCTCCCCATTTTAGGGTGTTTGTGCGGCCGCAGCCCCACAAGCCCCTTTTGAGGGGGGATCATGACGGCTTTAAGTGACATTTTTAGGGGTGTCCCCACCCCAAGCCCCTGTAGGGGATGTTTTGTCCCCCAGGGTGGATTTTGGGGGTTCTCTCTACCATGGCCGCTTTAAGGGCCCCCGGTGTTGTCGGGTCCCACTGTAACTCCTCTTAAAAGGGCAACACCGCTCCCGTTGGTTCCGGCAGTGGAGCCCGGGAGGGGTTGGGGGTCCCGGGAGGGGTTTGGGGGTACCTGGGTGATGCCGATGAAGGTGATGGGGTCCCCATGCTGGGTGCAAACCTTTGTGAATGTTTCCTGGGGATTTTCAGAAGTCCTGGGTGGTTTTGGGGCCACGGTGGTTTTTGGGGGGTTCCCAAGGGGGTTTACAGGGGTCCCGATGAGGGAATTTGGGCGATCCCAGGGATGAAATTGGGGATCTCAAGGCTGTTTTGGGGAACCTGCTGGTGATGGAGATGGGGACCCCATGACAGGCATGAACCTTCTCAATGGCTGTATGGGGTTTTGCCGTTTTGGGGAGTTTTTGGAGCATCCAGGG